CTACCGCCGCCGTTGCTCTACAGTACGCATATATAACACGCGGCGGTATTAACTCGTTTCATTTCGTTTCCTATATCGTGTGTATCCCCGTATCCGTCCCGGTATCATTGTGATCGTAGTGAAATGCCCGTAACCGGTGGTGCCTCGAGACGGCGGCGAGGACGTGGCGCCTGTCGTTGGTGTACGGTTCCTTGACGAGCACGGGATACGTGCAAACCGGCGCATGCACTGCAGCCCCTGCTACTATGATAATAACGAGAAAGGTGGCACGGTGGGCGCTCCTCCTGAAGAGAGAGGCGCTCGGCCGAACCTACGGTGCACAAAAGCGGTCCGAACAAGCACCCCGCGGTGCAACGGCGATGCTGCCTCGTTCCGGCCGGGTAGATGACAACATCGACACCGACACCGACACCGTGGCCACCGACCTGAACAGGACCAGCAGCTGCGTCGCGTTTGCGCTGCCGTTGTTGCCGTTCCCGTACTACTACTACCGCTACTACTACCCTCGTGCTGGAATTGCCGCCTCGCTCTTTAACTCAGATCGCCGCACGTTCACCGACCACCACGAGGATCACTCGTCGTCGCTCCTGTTAATCGCTGCGAGGTACGACGAACCGCGAACAGAACATACGTGCTTCGAAGAACAGAAAGAGATAGAAGTAGAAGAGGAAGAGAAAGACGAGGAAGAAGAAGAGGAGGAAGAGGAGGAAGAAGAAGAAGCAGCAGCAGTGGCATCATCGACCGAGCGAAAAGCAAAGGAGCAACAGGACGAGGTCGAACTAGGCGAACAGGAAGCGGAAAACGTGGCGAGACAGATAGGACAGGAAATAACAGTGCTCGCGAGCGTGGACAGTAACCTTCTTAAATACCGGAACGTGGATCAGTTACGATATTCCGCGTGACCAACAGCCAGTAGGACCTCGGTGTGTGTCGCCAAGTCGATGGTAATCGCGAGTGGGCGATTCGTACACCGGCGTACCGGCGTGTCTTAACCATTGCTACTGAACACACACACACACGCGAGAAAAAAAAAAGGAACAAGCCTATATACGTGCGATCTAACACTTTTACGCCGGATGCAAATTAGCACATTGTTCGTTAATCGCTGTTGAAAAAAACGAAAAACGCTTCTCAGTTACTCACGAACACATATACACGATACACATACATAAAGTACAGGAGATTAATGGAACAATATACAACGTGTACACCGTACACGGTATAACAATACAGACACGCGCGTGATCTCGTGTAACGTGGATATAAAAAAAAAAGAAAAGAAAAGATAAGGAGTGAACGGTAAAGAAATTTTGTGGCGTTCGTTGGTGTGGCAAGTCGTAAAATTCGTACGCTCGTTCTCTGGTTTAGGTGGTACGAGTGTCCGTTTACGTGCGAATTCGCCGGCGTTCGCGTACAGTCGTGACGCCGACAGAAAGCGTCGCGCGACAACCTCGCCGGAATACAGAAAGAAGAACCAAAAGGTTATATCTCGTTGTTGTTGGTATATACGCGTGCCGGGTGCGGAACAGAATATAAAGAGAAACAAAAAAAAAAAAAAGAGGAGAGAAAAAAAAAGAAAGGAGAAAAGAAACTCGTTGCGAGAAAAGGACACGCTGTGAATACACGTAGCTGTACACACGCGAAATAGCGAGGGGGAGAAGGACGGAAAATATCTATATATACATATATATACATACATATATATATATATACACTCAAGGGGAATATAGAGAGAACAAAGGAACGGGAGAGAAGTGTGATATCGGACTGCCCGTTGCATTCGTACTCCTGCCCTGAAATTTCGATTCGTGTAGCGCCATATCGCGACACACATATACATATTGTATCCTCCTCTATCTATGCCTCTCTCTGTCCCCCTCTGTTCCACCACCCCCTCGAAACCTCGGCTATCTCACTTTTTCTCGCTCTCTCTCTCTCCGTTTCTTTCTCTGTAATATTTACATATATTTATATGCATACGTATTATATACACATATACATATATATACGAGTATATATGCACGTATAAACACACGCGTGTCGCTCTCTCGCATTCGCACACTCCACACACATAGACACACAGGCAGACAGACAGCATATATACACACACACACGTTATACGTGGATACAGGCGCACAGTGCAAAAAGAGAGAGAGAAAAAAAAGAGGAGAGAAAGAAAAAAAGAAGGAAACGAGAGGAAAGAAAATAGTAATAACGGTGCGGAAAGGGGGTTGTACGTCGTATACGCGAGTGTGCTCCTTCGATCCGGCGTGTCTCGTTATATAGCTGCATCACTTTCCTACGGATCTTCACGCCACATCAAGTGCCGCTCGGCCAATTAAGCGAAACTCTCACCGTTAAGCCGATCTACCAGAGAACATCTTCGAATATGTCGCTGCTCAGCGTCACGGGTGAGTCTTTCCCCTTTCGTTCCTATACGTATATATATATTTCTTCCTACTTCTTATTCCGCTTACCTAGCAGAATGCCGGTGTGCGAGATGACGAAACGAACACGTCGTATTTTTCGACGTGAATTTACCGTCGCCTAGAAAGTATCTCTGTTCGCCGTTGCAATCTTTCCTGTTGTTCTTTTTTGTAAATTTGACTTACGCGTTATTTAATTCTCATTTTTTCAAACATTTCTCTACATTTCTTCTTTTTAAACGAAAAATTAGACACGTCTCGTGTTGTCGAATTTGCAGCTTCGCGCTGAATTAAAAATTGCGCCCGTTTCGTTCGTCGTTAATTAAAAAAGTTCAACGTATGGTGATATTGTTCGATTGGAAATTTTACACGGAATTGGAGGATAAATTGTTTGTAATCGCTTTCGGTACGAATGCCGTGCTGCTTAAA